GCATGTATACCACCATAGTTACAAGCTCATGTAAAATACACGAGTCCATTGCGATAGGGTTAAATGGATGCATGTGTGCACAACTGAAAGGGATCAGGATTATTACAGAAGTAAGAGTCCCAAATGCAAGATAACCTCTCATGAAAAAAAGAAATTGAGAAACAGAAGTGCCTTGGACACCAAGATCATCATGGCAGAAAGATGCAAGGGAAAAACCTCCCCATACAGGAAATGAGAAAACTCTCAGGTGAACAAAATACTGAGTGGGAGCCAAAACAAGCATATGCTAGCCTTGCAGAAGGGATTGGATGAGGAATAAGAGAGGGGTAGCCCAACATGACTCCTAAGGATGGGTATTAGATACAGGTACCTGTGGAATAGAGAGCCAGAAAACCATGGAAATAATGGAAAAGTGATAGAGAGCAGCCTTAGCCTGGAATACTAAGTAACCTGGAACACTCCAAAAGACCTGGTTGCATCATAAGAAGAAGGTATGCAGACAAACAAAAGGAAAGCAACCTGACAGAGGATATCCCCAAAACAAGGGAACCAAGTTAAAACAGAGACAGTATAGGAAGAAATAGAAGCCAAAGTGGCAAACAAAGAAAAGCAAGTGTCTCCATCAAAACCATCAGGGTCATAATGAAGAGCCACAATGAAGGTGAAGGGCAGAAATAAAATTAAAAGAGTAGGGAAAAGAAAGACGATGACAAACAGATAGCTGGAAAGAAAAAGTCAAAACAGAAAGAGCATCCCTAGCAAACAAAAAGGACACAAGGGATTAAGGTTCAAGAAATATAAAGGAACCACAACCTAAGGCTATGGAAGAGGCAACACAAAAGGAGAAATGGAGAAGAAAGATGAGAAACAATGTGAAATTGAGACAGAACTAAAAATAACCAGAGTTACTATGATATACAGGCAAAAGACATAGAACAACCCATACCTGATTTATGAGCAAGGCAAACAGAAAAAAAAGAGTTATCTGTTCCACATCAGGAAGAGAAGAGTCCAACCAAAGGCCGGAGGTGGAAAAACTCCATATGTGAGGTAGGCACCAACAGAAGGTAATGACACAGAACAACAAGGGAGCTAAACTAGAGAAGTAAATGAAAGGGTACCAACCACATGATGCACAGTAGCAAGAACATCATCAATTAACTTGTTGCTACACCATGGTTTGACACAGCTCCATAAGATCATGGTAATGTAAGTTTTCCATGACAGAGATAGTACATTAGAGTGAAATTCTGGGCCTTGGGACATTTTTTTGACATACGTCATTAAAAGAAGCATAAAGTAGAAATGTGATGGCTAGAGAGAACTAAGTTGCAATCAGGTGGATGAAGCAAAAGTGCAAGAGGGACAAAAGTAATATACTACTAAATAATGAAATTCAGAGGATCAAAGCTACTACAAATTTAAAAGGTATAAGGAAAAACACATTTGAACACAAGCAGTACTAAGGAAAGAATGAGGCTATGATCATGTGCTAGTGCTCACAGGGATTACTGTACATGGAGAGGGTGTCACCCTCTTATTGGTGGAGGGATACAGCATTATGGTGATTATTATAGACTAGCACAATACATGTAGACACGTGTAGAGGTGGGAATTTGTTCAAGCCTTTGGCATGTGTAGGAAAGTCTATGGTAGTTGTGTACAAGGCAATAGCTCTTAAGTGATGCAGAGAGGTGAGTAATGTTTCTGAATCTTTCTTTTCTTTAGTAATAAAGTGACAAGAAGAATGTGTAAAGAAAAACTGACTTTGTTAGGTTAATCTTGTTATGAAAAACTAAGTAAAAATAATTATATTAAATGAGGAATATATAAAAAGATTACAAAAGGCTTTGGCATGTAAAACAACTGTAGCACATTCGATTTTTGATACCTCACTAATATAAAGGCTTGGTCTGGTCTGATATTTCATTTGTGGTAGTGTCCAGGGTCACTGATAAGGAGTGGAATTCTCTGAAACTAGTCTGGCTCATAGACACACCCGAATAAAAGATTAGACCATTCCAAGCTTTTACTTGTTGTTAAACAAATGTATAAACAACTCTATTCAATTATGTAGCACATTATGTATTACGATCAGCTGAGACTTCAATGCCATATGCTTACATTTAAAGATATATTAATTGTAGAGAAGGTTATAATGGTGAACAAGATAGGGAAGTACACTCAAATCTTGAATACAAACACTAGCATAAAACAGTTTTAACTCTCCATGCACAGACTTGGTTATTTTGACCAATCTTGTAACCACAATTTAACCATGAAACTATACATAGTATATCTTTGAATGTACTAAGTGTAGTGAAATCAGTAATATAGGGGAAAATGAAAAATATGAAATGAACCTAAATTACCCATTTTTTCTTTCTAGAATTACTGCATAATGCAACAGACAATTACACACTACTTATTTTTAAAGCCTAAGTTAATAGTTATTTCACATTTGATTTAATTTAGTTTTTATTGCTTTAAAGTTGTTTAGACCCTCTCAGAATTTGTAGAAAACCATTTATCACAGCTGGAGAGCTTTGCATAAACAAAGAATAAAGTTAACAGCATGCATGCTTGAATCACACAATCGTACACTGCAATGTGCTAATGCTATTGTGAGTAATTTCTTTTAAGTTTTCCTATCTACCTTAATAAGTTTCTAATTTTGAATTTAATAATTTAATAAAAATAAAATATACATAAAAACATGAACTTGTGTAATTACATCTGAGCTGGTTCTTTTGCCATTGGAAAAGGAAATAAGGAAAGCCTCAATTTTTCTAATGAGGTTAGTATTAAAAAGATAGTTATTTACTTTAAATATGCAACTTAGATCATAAAATGTTATCAAGCAAAAAAACATAGAATGTCCTAAAAGTACAATAATTGAATTGGCTTTCTTAGTGAGCTATAAATGGGTTAAAAAATTACATTAACTGGTTAAGGCAAACTCTGACAATGGCAAACAACAAAAATGAGGTTGAATTTTTCAGAACCTGTCATTGAATGAGCTAGCCTTGTAGAAATTTAGTAAATTAGAATATTCTCTTTCTAATGGTTATAAATAATCCAAAAGCAAATGTCAGACAGAATTATTGACATTTTTTGAAAGATGTGGCATGTGGATTTTACTTCCCTGTTTATATCTAAGCAGAGCAGAAAGCTATACATTTATCTTATGGCTTAGCAATATCTACAGTATAAGTGTGTAATCTGTGCAAAACTCAGATCACGTGGGCAAAGAAAGAAAATCTAAAATGGGCAATTCAAGAATGAAAAAGTGTCAAGTGATACAGAGAAATGAAAGACTGAAAATTTAGTTAAGTTCTTCTTCCTGAAATAATGAAGTTAAAACTTTTTAATACTAAAATTTGAACTATAGATTATGCTTTGATGTCAGGTTTATTGATACACATTAATGATAAAGTTGATAAACTAAATTTTGAATGTAACTCTGTAAAATGATTTTGGCATGTGCACTTTGACCGACCTGAATCTAGAGAGTTAACAAAATGAAATGGGTAATCTTTTTTAGGACTTGTTGATATTGCTGTAATGTGAACAGCTGGTTTCTTTCTGAACATGACTGTTTTTATCTTTTCAGAACATAAGTAAATGTAACATATAATACATAACTAATACCAAACTTGAGGGATAATTAATTTCCTAAAGCTGGTCATGAAAATTAAATTACTAAATTAGAGTTTAGTCAAAAAATATTTTAATACTGAAATGCAATATTCAGGTGTGAAATATACCCATAAGAAAAGCCATTCCATTATATATTAAGCAAACAAACAAAAGCAGTAAAAACTAATGTCTAAGTTAATTTTAATTTCTGGGACTTTTCTTGAAAGCTTTATTTCAGAGCCCAGTCTGTATCTTGTAAAATCTGATGAAAAGTAGCTGCCCAAATTATCATCATCATCTGACACCAGATAGGGCTAAGGCCTGTCTGTGTAGAAAGCTTTCCATCTGCTCCTGTTTTCATAAATCCTCTGCTTATCTACAATCGTCAGGATGGTCCCTCTGTGTTACACCACTCTATCCATCATTTTCTAGTGTGTCCTGGTGGTCTCCTTCTTTTGGCTTCTTCAGGAACCACTTTGGAAGCATTCTCTTTTCTCCTCCATTCACCTCAGGTTGCCATACCATCTCAGCTGCATTTCCTCAGTGACTATCAGAACATCCTTCACACCCAGATTTGATTTAATGTTATAATATCTCATTCCATTTCTCAGTGTGATATCTCTGATAATGGAGAGGATTCTCATCTCAGCTGTTTACATTTTAGCATTTAAGGTCCATACCCCATTTACATACAACAGTATAGATCAGAGTATAGTGTTATATATGGTAATCCTAATTTCCTGGGTGTTTGTTCTTTAGCAGCAGGTAAAGCATGTCTATATTTCTGTGGCACTAGCTTATCCTTTCATTTACTGCATTCTCTTTATTTGGCCCTTGGTTGGGGATTCCTAGGTATTTGAAGTTGTCTGTCTGTTAATGGTGTCCCTTTTGCCACAATAAGTGCTTGCTTTGGTATATGTGACAATACCATTATTTCTGATTTCAAGCTATTTAGCATCAAGCCAAATTCCTCAAGCACTTTGCACTATATACTTTTATATATGTACCATAACTCTTCCCCAATAGATGTAACAATACTAATGTCATTTGCATATGCTAGTTACCTAGAATCTACAGTCTTACTCTACATCCTTCAGTATCTGATCCATCAGCAAGATAAACAAGAGTGGAGAGAGTATACTAACCTACGATACATCAGTTGTTACATTAAATGTAGCTTGAAATCGTAACTTACTTGATGGTTAACTTTTATTTCTTCTCCAAACCTTTATGCAATCATTTAAATCATCTAAATATTTAATCGTGGTATTTAGTGTAGTTTATTTAGATATATGCTTAGTAACTTAAATGAATGAATTAATTTTTTTATTCAAAATATCTTTCTACTTTACAATACTTACTGCTCCCTAAATCAACCAAGAATGCACGATCCAAGGCTTGGTGATAAACTAAGGCTGAATGAACACGTGAACAAGAGGCATGGTCAATCACAAAGTCATTTATTTCTGGATTTCTTCCAAAGAGGTAGCATTTCTTTTCATCTATCATGAGTTTCTGTAAAAAATTTATTAATTCTTATTTTACTACAGATTCTCATAACAAACACTCAGAAACTTGATACACACTCAATGAAATGTCTAATCACTCTTCTTGGGAAACTGAAAAATACTAATGTGCATGTCACTGGTGTTTTAACTCCGGGATCTGTGCTGGGACAATTGGTATTTCCTCTCTTATATTAGTGATATTGATATGGCATACTTGGGAAATTGGTTAAGATTGCTATAAAAATCTTAGGTCTGGCTGGCTGTAAAGAGGATGCATTATTTTACAGAGAGACTTAGGTGAGTTAGTTAGTTAGGCAAATACATGGAATATGGCATTTAATTATGATAAGTGTAAGGTCATGCAATAAGCTACCATGCTATAAAATAAACATAAAATTTAAACGGGAATCTTCTTATTTATGTAAATAAAGAAAAGAATCTTGGAGTATTGGTTGATATAAATCTTAAAGTCTTTGAAACATTGTTCTTGCGTAAGTGGTAAAGATTGGCTCTTCGCGTTTTTTTCTATCCTTTATATATGAACTTTTTTTCAAAATGCATGCCACAAGCCTTACACATCCCTCTGTTGGAATCCAAAGTTCCAACCTGTGTCTCATGCAAATCATCATGCATCAACTCTCCACCGATATGAAAGCACTACTATCACCTGACACATGTGACTCCCTCCATGCGGCACTACCGAACTATCACTTTGAAGTTTGGCAGAAGGCGTAATCACCGGAAGATTGTGGGGAGGAAGGGTGGAAAGTGTGAGAAGAGGGAAATACCTATTGAAAATAATTTTCATATAGGAAAATTATAACTTCCGATATGGTACCTTTCCACCCCTCATAAGATCAGCTTGAACCCCAAATTGAAAAAGAGGAGGGACCGGTGTTAGGGCAGAACAGGTGTATCCCCTGAAAGCATCCGAAGGACATCCCTGGAGATGAGAGAAACAGATCAGATAATCAGAGGAGGGACACCACACTACTTCTGAACCAGATATCTCTTCATCACAAACAGGTGGGATCAAAACATGGTGGAATATGAAGGGAACATATCCAGTGGGAGAGGATAGGTCAGTAATGTTATTCCAATCAGAGAAACAGATACACTCAATCCCATGTAATGAAAGTGGGTAATGGAGGATATGTCCCATGGTGTAGAGTGGCTAGGGCATGTCAGGCCATACTCGATAAGTAAACTATGTCCAAAACCTCACTCGCTGGGTACTGACATCCACGTGAGGGTAGGATGAGGATCATACTGTCTTCACCTCAAGCCGTAGAATCGTGAACGTACATATAATATTGACTCAGGAAACATCACAGGATGAGCATTGAGTTAGAGACATGGGAAGCAAGAGTCAAGGGAGAAAGATGAATGACTCGAAATCTGTGTATGGACTTATGTGATTGATTCACTCGATCTCCAAAACCTCACTCACTGGGAACTGACACACGTGAAAGTAGGAGGAGGGCACCTAATCAGAGGGGTGAATTGCACTTAGGCATCTCACTCTGGGTATGTGTCACTCGTCCAAAGGGTCTTGTAACTCTATCAAAGAATATCTTGTAATTCCTTCTACACTGACAGAACACCACCACCCCACTCTGAACTGAATGGTTATAGTCATCATTGTGGAACTCATTCAGCAGGTTGCCTCCATGGTCAACCACCCCAGCAGCTTGGACCTGGTGAGTGGTAAGGACACCCATACTCCACTGGAAGAAAGGGGGAAAAACGTATATTGGAGAGTCTGGAGGGACTTCTACACCCGAGATAGTGCAATGGGTGATCACAAAACCTTATTTTTAAAAGAAGAACATACCGACTTATTCAGTCCAGGCATGGTATGGGACGGGCATTTTTATGAAGCAAACATCACACGGTTATTCACACTCTAGTGATAATGTGAAACACCCCATCTCAAGGGTGAGCATGCATAGCCATGGACAAAGTGTGTAAATCAACATGGCATACAGTGTGGACTTGTGTTTTTTTTAGTATAAATATATCTGAGAATGGTTATAGTCATCTAAGTGGAACCCATTCAGTGTTCAGAAAGATTACCTGGTCAGGCACCACTTGCCACAGAGCAGGATCAAAAGTGAAATTGAAGCAAGGGCCCCTGAAAAAAGAGAAAGCATAAGTAAGGACTTACCTCGTGTCAACGCTATGCCAAAATCAGTGGAATAGCCACAGGTGGCAGGCGATACCTCAAGGAAGCAGAAATTGTGA